GTGCCAGCCTACCTCTCAAACGGCGTATTTATCTGAGAAATTCTAGTTCGTGATTTTAAATAGTTTTTCTCATCCTATATAATCCCAAACACTCAAAACTATAAATACCCAAGCCCTACATCGTCTCAAAGGTTAGTGAACATATTTTCACAAAAGAGAACATAGATTGAAGTTCAAACAACCAAATAAAAACTTCTTTTGATTCAACCACATATCGAAAACATCAAAATTACAAATTCTCAAAACACCAAATCAACCTCTTCCAATACATCTGTCAAAGGTCTAAAGAAGATTGGATTTTTTTTTATAGTGGAAGTGCCATAAAGCGCGAACCAAGATCAGGAGGTGATCAGAGTTCCGATTTATGAAGAACGAGTTCGTTCTTGGAATTCCTTGGTGATTACAGATGGGAGGTCAGATTTTACTAGGGTTTAGTTGTGTCTAGACCATACTGTAAGTCAAACCTTATATAATAGATTTTATTGCAAGTTTATCCAAAGGTTTCTTATCCTTGTGAAGAGTTCTTCAAAGGGTGATACATGATCAAAATCTTGGTGTTATTTTCTGTAATATTTACACTCCACAATAGATATCTGGGTTTAGATTTCCGTGATTTAAAAAGCCGTATAACTGCCCGCTGATAGCTCATGGAGTGCTCAAGAGTATTCATTGAACGTGAGGCAACTAGTTGAGCAGTGGTGTCATTTGGTGAAACCCTAGTCTGCTATTTGACAATTTTTTACGTTCATAAACAACCTAGGCTGTTATATTAGAACTCCACTATATATTAGGGTTTCCTTGTATTAAATATATTTCGAGTAACTCACATCTTGTAACAATCTTATCTATGACGTAGGCAGAGACAGAGATAGGGGGCAGGGGACGACCGCCTCCCAACATTGTCCGCTGGTCCACTATTCCTAGTTAATTTGTAATGTATTTTTCAGTTTCGCCTCTGCAAAAATTTTGACTCGTCCCCGCAAAATTTTGAATTTTTTTTTTCCATTAATAAATATTGACCCAATAATTTAAAGATCCAATAGTTACTTAAATAAATAAATAGCTCAAATTCTATCCAAATGCAAAGGACTCATTTATGAATCAATTACCCAAAACCATACCCACGGGCCATAGCCCACAAAATGTAATCCCGGCTATAAACACCCTTCTTATTGACAAGTTTGAAGTGATGAGGACAAGGAAAAACCAATTTTAGATGTTCAAGCCATCTCTGCCATCTGTTATATAGATAGGCAATTTACTTTTTGTCATTTCGATATTCATTTAATGTTCATATTTTCAATTTGTATAGCGTTAGACTCATAGATGGACATATT